ACATGCTTGCCTATGTGTGTGAGGATGCATAGTTTGCCTTCAAGCAAACTCCCAGCTCCTAAATATTTTTAGTACCAGTAACACACAGAGAGCCAAGGCCACACTGTTTGGCGATGCTCGTCTCACAGATGGAGCATGGTAACACAACAGCAGAACAATTCCTTTCCAGGGCGGACTTTTCGAAGAATATTCGCCATAAACCACACTGACAGGCTGGGTCAAGTCTAGGTCACTCCTCAGAGACTGGTAGATTAGCCCAAGGCTCAGATGCATTGAGTCAAGTTCTAAGTAACTGTCAAGTTATATGTAATATCTCATAGGAGCTCAGCGTTTGAGCTACTGAGTATTTCTTTTTGGAAAAACAAGAAAACTGGAAGTAAATAGAATGGCAACACAAACTAAGTGAGAAAACTTAGAATATTACAAAGTTTTAAAGAAATGAAAAAGTGGTGTTTGACAAATGTAACAAAAATAATTAGTATCTAAACAATGACACGTTTAAATAGGAGCAGCAGTTGTCACCATAAAAAGACTTTGTGACTAAGCTATATAGACACGGATGGGTAACAAGTGAATGAGATAAAATAGCGTTGTGGTGCTCAGATATTTGAATGCTTAGTCACCGGGGAGCGGAACCGTTTGTTTTGATTAGGAGGCGTGGTCTTGCTGGGGAACGTAAGTCTCTGGGGGCGGGCTTTGAGATTTCAAAAGCCCAGTCTCTTTCCCTGCTGCGTGTGAATGGAGATGTGGAACTCTCAACTTCTCTAGTAACACATCTGCCTGCCATGATGCTAATAAGCTAAACCTCTGTAAACAAGCCCCCAATTAAGTGTTTTCTTTTCTAGGAATTGACTTGGTTATAGTGTCTCTTCACAGCAATAGGACAGTGACTGAGACAGGCACAACACTCAGCAGGTGTCTGTGAAAATTAAATAGCATGCCTCTTCTACTTTCATCCTTCTGCTGTGTTCATTTCTGTCCAAAGCAAACTGGGGGTGAGGGAGTTTATTTCATCTTACATTTCCAGGTCACTGTCGTGGTCTCTCAGCATCTGCAGCTGCCTGCAACGGGCACCAGATGGAGCCTATCAGCAGTTACCAGGAATGAGCAGATGCTCACTGGGCCCTGCCCCTCCCTGCTGAGTCACCAGCTACTAATGGATTGTGGGAGATGGAAAGATACTGTCTTTAGTCACACAGCCACTGGTAAGCCCATGGGGCTCCAAGAAATAATTCAAAAGTCACGACCGTGCTTAAACTCAGCAAGTCACAAAAAAAAAAGGTATAAATATAAAAAAGGGAATGTAGGGTAATTGTGGGGAGTAAAAGGGCCAGGAAGGCCTCAAAAATAATAAAGGCAATAGATGGCCCACACAAAACAAACTCAACAGTATTTTTGTAAATTTTTTATTTCATATTTCTTTGTTTCGGTTTTTTTTCTCCTTACTGGACTTTTATTTATATGCTATGGTTTCTGATTTTGTGCTTTTATGGTGAATGGATGGGGGGGGGGGGTCTTGTGCTTTCCCTTGGTTTTATTTTTTATTCTGGTTTGTTTTTATTTGCCTATTTGTTTCTAAAGAGGGAGAGAGAGAAGGTGAGGAGGGTATGGGAGGATTTGAGGAAGAGAAAACAGTGATCAGAATATATTGTATAAAAAAAAGCATATTCAATTTTTTAAAAAAAGAATTTTTTTAAGCACAGGTGTATTTGACAAAAGCTGATTTTGTAATTTCAGTCAATAACTTTTCAGAATGGTGGGCCTATCTGTCCCAGCAATCAGTTTGGAAAACCAACACTGAGGGCGGTGTTAGCCATGGTGGTGTGGTGTTGGCTCGCCCCCTGAATGAATGATCATGCATACAGAACAAAGAAATCATTTTCTCTTTGTGGAAAAGGTGTTCACAATGCTACAAAGCCTCAAACTGTAGCAAAACACATCAGGGCAGTTCCTATTCCTTACAGTCCAACTGATGAAATACTGGGCAATTCACTTGTCAAGTAATAGAATTTCATCATAGCTACTGACACAGGAAGCCATACACCCCACAGAAACATGAGAGTTGGGGAGCCGATGTCCTATGTTCAAAGGTAAAACATCCTCTTGTTTTGATAGGGAGAAGTAAAACTATAAAACACAGACTTGACCTGTATTTAACCAAATGCCATTGAGTAACCAAATTAACTCAATTATTTCATAAAGAAACTACAAAGATCCCCTGGTGTCATTTATTATATACAAAATGTTTAATTGTAGAATATGTACTGATATTTTTTAAAAAGAGTGCTTTTGATATATCTATTTTCTTCTTCCAGAACCAAGTCTTTAAAGGCATCCACTGCTAAAACCTATCTTCTTGATCATTGTGCAAAGGAAATGAAAATATATTACTTAAGTATTTTGTTGCTGAATTCAAGAGCAATTGTGGTATCAATGAGGAAAAAGTTACCCATTGTCTCCACATCCTGTGTGAATATACCAAGAACATCTTCTAGAACACAGTTTGTTAGGGGCTGCTGCTGTCTGCCCTCATTATTCATTTAAAAAATAAAATGGTGATGCTCAGTCATCTGTAGACCTGTCTCTTCAACCTATAGCATTGCCTGGTAGTGGGTGCAATGGGATTCAGAAATCCCTGGAGGACTTATCCAATGGCAAACAGCTATGAAGCTGCACCAATAGCAATGACACTATTGCTTATTTTACAAGTGTCTATGCTTGAGAGAGTTAACAAAAAATGAACAGAATTTGGAACTTGGGGATATCACACTTCTCCTTTTATATTAAATCCATACCAGGCAGAAAAAAGTGTGTGCACTTGGGATTTATCAAATGGAAAGAAAATGACTCCAGGCAACTGTGCTGGGCAAAGGTGAGTTTTCAGAGCTGTCTTCAGTAAGTGGCGTTGCTACGGGGGTAAAGAAGCACACACATGTGTCAAGAGGGTGTTCTGTGGGTCTGCTGATGACTCTACTGCAGGAAAGAAGGACAATCTCTGGGGTGTGTTTGCCTGAAAACAGAACAGTACACGGAAGATGACAGCAGGAACGCAGTGCCTTGTCCAAGGATTCACCAGGATTCTGAATCAACATAAAGTTCCTTAGAAAAATGAGAGCATCCGAAATGGAAGAAAATATTAACAACCAACAAACTAACTTGATGAATTATCAAAAATGTGGGGGAAATAGACTGCAGAAGAGGCAGGAAATGACCAATTTTAAAGGATGCCCGATAGGGTGGCTAAGAGACATGCTGTGAGGAAAGGTCTCCCCTGGAGACCCTGTGTCTGACTCACTACCACAGAGATCAGACACACCAAGGGGCACAAGGCAACATGAGAATGAAAGATTGTAGAATGCTTCATTCATGGCAGATTAAAGGAACACGCATTGAGCGGCTATAGCAAAAGAAGACTAATTGGAAATGAGAATGTTAAGATGAATGAACAGTAATCTCTAAGCTTTATCAACACTACAAACACTGGAGAAATATAATTGCATAATAAAGAATAAAAACCTGCTTAAAACTGACATCTATGACAAAAATAATTTTTTAAAAAATGAGAAAAGGTGAAGCATATGAACTCAGAAATGATAGGATCCAATTTGTTAACTGAAGCATGGTATACTGAAAATGATTGTAAGACAGGGGGGAATGTGGAGAGGCTCGTGGAGGAACTGGGGTGCTGGGTCCCAGCCCCCACAGGGTCTCTGTGAGTTGCTTGCCAGCCAATAACCACAGATGTTTTCTAATCCTGGCTTACAGCCCCGGCCTCGCCCCACTACACCTGGGAAAACACGAGCTCTTCTGCCACGAGCTCTCACACCTGGGTTTTTCCACTGTGCTGTAAGTATAAATAAGGCCTCTCTCCCCATGGAATAAAAAAGACGAATAAAGTTGGGCAGACGCACATAGCACAAGTGACCGGATGTCTCTGCTTTTAACTAAATCTCCAGGCTTTCGCCTGATACTCGGACTTAGTGGTGGTACAGACGCCAAGTGGAGGGTCCATTAGACTTAGTCATGGAGTGAACACCACACTGGGGGACAGAAGCCATAATCAGAATATATTGCATGAAAAAGATCTATTTTCAACAATAGAAAAAAATATCAGCCAGGTTTTAAGAGGGAAGTCTTAAAATCTGCCACAGAAATCTCACTATTGCAAATTACATTAAACATAGCTGGTGTTGCACCAGAAAATTACAGTTATGAGGAAAGAAATATAAGTGAGAGGGGGGTTCTCTAGGCTCACTCATAAGAGGGCAGTATCACACCAACAGACTAATAACGACCAGCGGCGACTCTCATTAGACCCGTGAGGGTCAATCAACCTGGAAGGTCTTCTCAAACCAGGGTCCCTCTTTCCAAGTTAACACCTGTGACTCTGTTAGTCTCAGGAATCATAGTGCTCAGATTATTTTTAGATTTGGCATTCAAGGCAGACATGGAGTCGGGGATGAAGATGAACCACTGAGAAGTACAATGAGTAGAAAGTTGTGAACACAAGCCTGAACCCCAGTATTGGGAGGCGGAGGCAGGACGATGACTAATTTCTGGCCAACTGAAACCCTGCAGCAAAATGTAACTGCACCAGAAATTGTTGATGATGATGACGAGAGTAATTGAAGAGAAGAGCAGGAGAGAAAGAGAGAAAGGGCAGCTACTTCTGGTAATGGAGAAGAAAACTCCTTATGGCGGGGCAGAGTGAAGAGACAGCGGTGCAGGGTATCCCACAGTCGCCTCGGCTGTCTTAACTCTGCAAGTTACATCATCGAAACCAGAGACCTACTGGGCTTGTTTTACATATCATCTGTCTTACAATTATTGATTTTTAAAAATCCATTTTATAAAATATTATCCCCAGGAAGGTCTTGCTGAATTGAAAGCTATTTTCCACCTTTAGATGTAAGCATTTTGTGAAAAGTTGTTGTTACATACAGAAGACAGGGACACTTAGAAAAGTCTTGCCCACTAAGATGAAAAAGTACATTACTTACAGTTAATAGACATCTTGGAGGAGAAATATTTCAGAAGACTTAAAATGCTCATCCCCTCTAATTCGGGCTGCACTTCTGACTTGTTCATGAGTAAAGCATCCTTCTGCAGACTTGGACAGTCACAGAACCCAATCAAAGCCGTTTTCCTCAGGTAAGAGGTAGCTGCATACAAACACACTTCCGAAATAATTGTTGTATATATGAAGATAACATCTGAGGCCCAGGACAAGTCATACTCCTCATAGCTCTCTCTCTGAAACAAAAATCCAAAAGGGCATACTAGAAAATCTAAGTACAGTCTGTCAGACCTAGAAGCCATATGTGTACTAGGATTATAAGGAAAAAGTATACTCAAATGTTACACAGTTGTTATAAAACCAGGGGACCAAGGGGTAGAATGAGAGAGAGGGGAGAGATCATAGTGTCTCACTGACTAATTCATTTGAAAGAAATAGTGAAAATGCAATTAAAATTTCATTTCTAAGAATGCCAGTTCCAGACTCAAAACCCTACTGTTGGGGATGCCACATACTTTAGTTATAGGATACAGGGAAGTCAAGCCAGGGTGGACCTAGAAGCTCCCTCCATGATGGCTAATGTTTCTAGTTCCAGAATGCCCCAGACTGCTGGAAGACAAAAACCAGCAACACTGCCCAGCTGTAGAGCCATTTGCTTAGTGGGAAAATGTCTAACTGAGGCATTGTCTGTCTCCCCATTATTTTATGGTTCCATTTACATTCCTTCCGTGTATATATATATATATATTTCAGAAACCTTCTACAAGTTTTTCTTATATGTTATGGTTTTCCAATTTTGTGTTTTTATGAGTTTCAGTGTGTATGTGTGTGTGTGAGTGTGAATGTGTGTTTTCCAGTGTACTTTCTTTGGTTTAGTTGGTTCTCAGTTTGTGTTTTGGTTTATTTCCTTTCTAAAGAGAGAGAGAAAGGGTGTGGAGCTGGGTGGAATGGGAAGGATCTGGGAGGAGGTGGGGAAGGGGAAACCAAAATCAGAATCTATGTTATGAAAATTTTTTCAATTAAAACAAAAAAAAGGGAAATCAAACACAAAGAAGAGAGAAACTGACACAAAATAGTAGGGGATCAGCAGGATGGGAGAGGGCAAAAGAGGGTAATTAGGATGACTATGATCACAATACATTGTATTCACATGTGAAATTGTCAAACATTGCAAAAATAAAAGACTTCTACTTCAAAATTTTTTCTTAACCATTAAAAATTGAAAATAAATTTAATGTCCAACAATAAAGAATGAAATGATCCCCTTTCTGCTAAAATGTAAAAATATCAAGAACTGTTATAAATATTATTATTTTAAAAAATTCAAATAGACCTGAGGCCTGGGGACTGAGCACTGTGGATCCCATCCCAGTAAGGTCCGGCCCAGCCAGAGACTGCCAGCCAGCACCATAGTTCCTTTCTTTGGCCACAGAATGAGGTAAGCTTGGGCCCGTTTCCGGCCCACCTTCTGGGCCCTGCTCAGAGACACCTAAGGCCTGGGGACTGTGCACTGAGGATCCCATCACAGCAGGGTCCAGACCACCCAGAGACTGCCAGCCAGCATTGTAGTCCTTTTCTCTGCCCATAGGATGAGGAAAAGAAGAGGCATCAGAGTATCGGACCTGTTTGTACCCACCAGAAGGGAACCTTGGTCCCGTACCCACCAGGAGAGGAAGAGACTCCTTCTACACCCACCAGAAGAAGGGATGGGAAGAAAACAATATAAAAACACATTCAAAACCAGAAAAACCAATATGACACCACCGGAATCTAGGGAATCTACACCAGCAAGACCTGAACATCCCAGGACAGATGAAGCAGAAGAGAATGACCTTAAAAACAACTTCATGAAAATGATAGAGGCCCTCAAAGAGGATATGAGAAAATCCCTTAAAGAAATGGAAGAAAAAAAAAATACAAGAAATCAATAAATCTCTTAAAGAAAGCCAAGAAAAAAACAATTAAACAGATGAAGGAAACAGTTCAAGACCTGAAATAGATGTTCTACCTACACTAAGAGACCATGGATGCCAGCCCAGACTACTATACCCAGCAAAGCTTTCAATCAATATAGTTGGAGAAAACAAAATATTCCATGACAAAACCAGATTTAAACAATACGTATCCACTTATCCAAACCTACAGAAAGTTCTGGAAGGAAAACTCCAACACAAGGAAGTTAACTACAACCAGAAAAACATAGGCAATAGATAATCGACTTTACCAACAGCCAAAAGAAAAAAGGGGAGGAAATCCACACACAATTACAACAACAACAAATCCAAAACAGATAAGAATGAACAATCAATGGTCATTAATATCCCTCAATATTAATGGTCTTAACTCGCCTATATAAAGACACAGACTGACAGAATGGATAAGAAGACAGAATTCATCCTTCTGCTGCATACAAGAAACACACCTCAACTTCAAAGACAGACGTACCTCAGAGTTAAGGTTTGGGAAAAGATTTTCTAATCAAATGGACCCAAGAAACAAGCAGGGGTAGCAATCCTAATATCTAACAAATTAGACTTTGAACTAAAATCAATCAAAAGAGATGAAGAAGGTCATTTCATATTAATCAATGGAGAAATCCATCAAGATGAAGTCTCAATTCTGAACATTTATGCCCCAAATACAAAGGCATCCACGTTTGTAAAAGAAACATTACTAGAACTCAAATCACATATAAAACCTCAGACACTTATAATGGGAGAATTCAAAACCCCACTCTCACCACTAGACAGGACCACCAGACAGAAACTTAACAAAGAAACAAAGTTATGATAGAAGTTATGACCCAATTGGGTTTAACAGATATCTATAGAACATTCCATCCAAACACAAAAGAATATACGTTCTTCTTAGTGCCACATGGAACCTTCTCTAAAATGAACCAAATACTTGGCAACATAACAAACCTCAACAGGTACAAAAAATTGGAATAACCCACTGTGTCTTATCAGACCACCATGCTTTAAATTCAACAACAACACAAATTGCAGAAGACCTACAAACTCATGGAAATTGAATAATGCAAAATTGCACCATTCCTGGGTCAAGGAAGAAATAAAAAACAAAATTAAAGACCTCCTAGAATTCAATGAGAATGAAGACACAACATACCCATACCTATGGGACACTTTGGAAGCAGTACTAAGAGGAAAGTTCATAGCAGTAAGTGCCCACATGAAGAAACTGGAGAATAGTCACACTAGAGAATTGACAGCACAACTGAAAGCTCTTGAACAAAAAGAAGCAAATTCACCCTGGAGGAGTAGATGCCAGGAAATAATAAAATTGAGGGCTGAAGTCAATAAAGTAGAAACTAGGAAAACAATACAAAGAAACAATGTAACGAAGAATTGGCTCTTCGAGAAAATCAACAAGATAAGACAAACCTTTATTCAAACTTACCAAACCACAGAGAGTGAACACACAAATTAACTAAATCAGAAATGAAAAGGGGGACATAACAACAGACACTGAGGAAATCCAGAGAATCATCAGGTCATACTTTGAAAACCTGTACTACTCAAAATTTGAAAATCTAAAGGAAATGGACAATTTTCTGGATAGATATCACTTACCAAAATTAAATCAAGAACAGATAAGCAATTTAAACAGACCTATAGTCCCTAATGAAATAGAAGCAGTCATCAAAAGCCTTCCAACCAAAAAAAGGCCAGGGCCAGATGGTTTCAGCGCAGAATTCTACCAGAAATTCAAAGAAGAGCTAACACCAATACTCTTCAAATTGTTCCACAAAATAGAAGCAGAAGGGTCATTGCCAAACTCTTTTTAGAGGGTACAATTACCTTGGTGCCCAAACCACACAAAGGCACAACTAAGATACAGAACTACAGGCCAATCTCCCTCATTAACATTGATGCAAAAATACTCAATAAAATACTGGCAAATCAAATCCAAGAACACATCAGGAAAGCCATAGACCATGATCAAGTAGGCTTCATATCAAGGATGCAGGGATGGTTCAACATACAAAAATCCATCAATGTAATCCACCATATAAACAAACTGAAAAAGAAAAACCACATGATCATCTCACTAGATGCTGAAAAAGCCTTTGACAAAATTCAACATCCCTTCATGATAAAGGTCTTGGAGAAATCGAGGAACAGGAACATACCTAAACATAAGGCAATATACAGCAAACCGACAACCGACATCAAACTAAATGGAAACAAACTCAAGATTCCTCTAAAATCAGGAACAAGACAGGTTGTCCACTCTCTCCATACTTCTTCAATATTGTCCTTGAAGTTCTAGCTAGAGCAATAAGACAACAAAAAAGGAGATCAAGGGGATGCAAATTGGAA